GTACGTACTTTCTAAAGAACTGCACACAAAAAAATCGATTTTAAGCATTTGTAAAATGTGTTTTATGTGCAGTTTGTACAGCATGCATTTGTGAACAGCATGACACACACACACACACACACACACAAATGGCTTTATACGTGCAGATTGCGCAGCACGCATTTGTGATCCTCATGACACACACACACACACACACACACACAAATTGCTTGTTACAGACAAAACGTTAAACACGCATTTGTAACATTTTTGATAGTATTTTATCTCCATAGTTTTGATGTATGGTAAACTTTGTCAGTCTGAGCCCACCGAGGCATGTGCTGGTTTTTTGGCTGAGATTCCTGGTATCCTGCCTTTGCCTTGCTTTTATGCATCTCTGTGGCCACACTCGAAACTGAATTACTTTGTGATCTAAATTGAGATTGGTTAATCAGATTTTAATGATTTATGTGCTTTTCTGAATCTGACTCAGGTTGAACATAGTCCTGCATGCACAGTATTTAAATTGTCTGATAAATCAAGATTCATTTATCTCATTCTGGCTAGCAATCCACATACTTGGGAGCTGCTGTGTTTGCAAATGAATTTACCACTGTGTTATAGCAATAGGAAGGGGCTCCAAAATTTACTGGATTAATTATTAAAAGTGATATGAAACACTGTCTAGAACAAGGTTTCTTACATGATTTGTTTTATATCAGTTGGGATAAAATGTTACTATTTGAGGAGGCTGAATCACCATGGTCTTTTTTCTGATGCTTTCATTAGTATTTTAGATGATGGCGTGCCCCAAGGTTCAAACTCAGGCTTCCAACAATGTTAACAAGTAGGTAGGTACTTTATTGATCCCACAGTGGGGAAATTTCCGCTAGGAGCCGCTAGCATATACTGACCATTTTGTTTTTTGCATTCAACAAACCCTACAGTAGAAGAATTCATCTAAAAATCAGAGGTAAATGCTGCTCTTATCTGGACTTCTTTATGTATAGTCTGTCCTTTGTCAAGTTTTCATTGTATACAAGAGCTTTCTGGTTATGGTCCCACCAGCTTTTTAATAAAAAAAACCTTCAACATCCTTTCCTTATTTTGCCAGAATCTCTTTCACGTATCACTCTTATATTCACCAAACTTATATGTAATATTGCATTATTCACTTTGTTGTAATTGTTTCTCTGTATTTGAATTCTACATAGACAAAATGCTGGAAAATCCATCTATACTCACAATTGGCGTGATGCTAGACCCTCTGGTTCAGTCTACTCCAAGTCCCATGATCCTCTGAAACAGAAATTATTTTAGGCCAAAGCTCAGCATAGCTGGTGCAAACTGATCCCTATTAAAACACCAACTTATGAATTTGTATGTGTATATCTCACAGCATACAGCAACAATGGTTTCACACATACTGTTGTGCTACCTAATATGGAGAAGCAAAAAACCTTTTATAAAAAGCCTCTATTGCCTTGCTTTTTTTTTTTCCTCATTGTCACACCATAATAATAGATCTACTTTTCAGTTTCAGAGCTGCAAAACTGGCTAGATCTGCACCTTAAAATATTTCATTTGTGTGTCATCTATGATCAGCAAGCCCAAACCAAAAGCTGCACCACAAAATTCCAATGACACCTCTGAAGATTTTCCGCAGATTTTGAAAAGAAAGCAGAAACTCGGTATTTGCCCGAATAGTTGGGCGACTCAGATCAAATTTCTGAATGCACTCAAATCAGCTGGTTTACATGTAATCTTTAACCCATGTTTGTATAACTCAATTAACTCCATGTTTGGGCTCCAGGCTGCTAACACACATACCTGCAGCACTAAGAGATGAGCTCTGAGCTCGACAATCCAAAATTGTACATTTCTCTGTCTGTATTGATGGACTTTACTCTAGGTCTTTCCATCCATACACACTAAAGACTTGGTGCACTTGTGGCACCAAGCACTGTCAGCATCAATGCTAGTGAAGTGTAACCACACTTTTGAACATCTACTTCTCTCCGCCACTTTCATTAAGAGCAGGGTTTCTGTGTGTGTACTGCAGCATAAGAGAAAGTGAGTTGTTCACACACAAGCTCTGGGACAGAGATCTCTCTTACTGGGTCATAAAGGTATTTTATCAGCGAGATATATGATTCAATGCAAGTTTATTAATATATGAATCACCAGCATACTACAAGTACAAATAACATTCTGACTCTCTATGCAGTTGTCATTTTTAATATGTCATCCACTGGGAAAAAAAAAACAAAAAACAAAAGCTCATTTTATGATGCACTGACACTCAGCTACATCTGCCAGGATCATCTGGAGAACTTCTGGATTGTCTAAACCAGAACCGATGGCAGATGATGTGTAATCTCAGTCTCTTCCTGTCTGTTGCTTGTGAAGATAAGCAACAGTGTATAGAGAAAGGATGATATAAGAAATGAATGAATAAAAGACCTCTGAAAACTTCACTTCACTGTTAGTACATTAGTTATACACAGCAACTGAGGATGTTTAATGACTTGTATAATGGATCGATATATTTTAAAATGAACAGAAGCCTTAAGAGTACAAAAAGACTTTTCCTATTTATCTGCCATAGGTTTTGATCAGTCCATGTAGACCCAATATGATTTCACTACAGCAGTGTACAGCCCATAAGGCACCCCATATTCTGATAAGTGTGTAACTTATCCTTGAGACAGCAATTGTGCCCCCCTATATGGTAAAAGCTGCTCAAAGCTTAAGTGAATAACAATCTTTAACTAAGCTCTAACAGCACTCAGGAGCTGTTTTCCATTCTCACATTTTTTCTGTATGATAGCTTGGCACACTACTTTACACAGTGGTGGCAGGCTAACTCCTGTTTTTATCAGTCTGCTTTTCAAAGGTCAATGAGCTTGCGTGTGTGTGTGTGTGTGTGAATGAGACACAAAGACTGAAACAATTATATTTCAGAGCCAGCCAGCAAAGTTGAGGCTTAAATGTCAGTTTCCTGTAAATAATTACCACCCATTGTGGCACCAACATATGCAATATCAACAACCTAAGCTTATAAACCAATGCTCACAGCTGAAAGATTGCAGGACACTCACCAATTAGTCCAGCAACACCACAAACATAATCATGTCAGACCATTTCTCAGTATCTATCCACAAGAGGGGAATGGAAGCCAACTGGGACTAACCTTTATTGATAGGGTTTCCCGTCTGGTATTATCTGAAAATTAACTGTTAGCCATGTGACAAATTCTCTGTCTTTGGCAGTCAGGGGCTATTGTAGTGCAGTGTTACATTGTTCCTGTCCAGTATTAATATAAAGGGTAATACAGATACATACACTGATCAGCCATAACATTATGACCACCTGCTTAATACCATTTACATAGGAGTCAATGTGGTAGTTTGTTGGCACTCGTGTCACTCTGCAGCTCACTGTGCATCTTCTGTGAAACAATCTGCTTCCACAGTTCTACTGTCAGGAATAGCACAGATGTGTCTACAATTCAATAAGAAACTTATGTCAAAGGAGTAAAATCTGTGGTCATGAGGACAAGTTAGAAACATTTTTTTTGACAAATTCAACAGCCTCACCACTAGGGATGGGCGTATCGATACTTCCGATACCCGCCAGTCGATATTCTGGAGTCGATACCTTTTTAAGTATCGCAATACCACTGTGCTAATACAAAACGTGCTATTTGTTTCACTTCTGAGAGTTTTAGGTACTACATTTATGTGTGAAAGCCAGCCCGAGCGTATTTTAGATGGTCTTCCGTGTCACATGATTATGGCAGCCAATCAGATGTCAGAGCTGAAGGCTTACTGCGCAGCCTCAGTTAAGCACTGTCTCAATGATTACTCTGCTGCTCAGAGTGAGCTCGGTCAGCAGCAGCACTGCGTGGCAGCATGAATGGTTGAGAGAGCTAAAGAAGCGCAGCGTGGTGCTATTTTTCACCCACGACCAAAGATAATGTGGTATGTGCTCCGTCTGCAATAAAGTGCTGCCACATAGCAATAACACTAGCAACCTCTATAAGCATTTAAAGACAACACACCCTGACACTTTTAAAGAGGCTGAACATCGCCATGAAGACAATCAGCAAGCCTCAAAGTCCCCTGCACCAGACATTGCAGAAGACAGAAGACATTGCAGGAGAGTTTCATGAAAAGCAAAGAATATCCAGGCACAGGTGACAATGTGTTATAAGTGATTTAAAAATTCAACAAACCATTATTTTATTAAACTATCTCAAACTGCAACTGAGCTATGTGAATCTTGGACGAAGCCATGTTCACCACTCTTTCATTAATTGACAAACGTAAAGGTTCATGTGCTTGTACTGTATATATCAGAAAATACTGACAGTTTTGTTTCTAGAACGTTATTAATGGAAGTAAACTTCCTTTAAGGTGAAAAAGTATCAGTATCAATGGAAAAAGTACTGTAAACTAATGGCATCATATCGAAAGGAAAAATGTTGGTATCACCCATCCCTACTCACCACTACAGCCTCTGACTCTTTCTCTTCATAGAGACCAATGTATAGTATTTCTCATTTTCAACCATTTTAACATAGATTCAAATAAATTTTAATCTTTTGAAAAGTACAAATGGAAATTAAAAGTTTAACCTACAGTAGGCCAACCTCATCATCAGTGAGCTGTAGGCGTCCATGACCCTGTCGCCAGTTCACCATTTACCTCACCTTAGACCACTGTTGGTAGGTACCAACCACTGCAGACCAAGAACACCCACCAAGACCTGCAGTGTGGGAGATGCTCTGACCCAGTCATCTCACCATCATAGTTTGGCCCTTGTCAAAGTCACTCAGATCCTTACACTTGTCCATTTTTGCTGCTTCCAACACATCAACTTTAAGGACTGAATGTTCACTTGCTGCCTACTATACCCCACACACTGGCAGGTGCAATTGTAACAGATAGTCAGTGTTATTCACTTCACCTGCTAGTGTTCATAACGTTATGGCTGATCAGTGTATACTGTAGCAGAGCTGTATTAAAAAGCAGTGTGACAGGCCTACGTTTATCTGTGTCTTCAGTCAAGTATTGTACGTGACCAAATACACACATTAAGGAAACCAAGTATCAACATATTTAAAATTGTAATGTAATCAATTACTTATTTTTTATATTCAGGTTGCAAAGTTCAGTAAACAACACCATGAATTTCTGGATAACAGAAGAGGTTAAGAGACTGCTCACACTTTCAAACTATCCGTGGGCCATAACCAAACCTCGGTGATATTTTTAACTGAAACACACAAACTCCAACATGGTTAACGAACGATGATTAACTTTAGAAAATCCAGCTCATAAAGTAAGAGTATCTTAACAGGTTCTGCCTGCGGAGATCACATACTTTAAAATATTAACCAGTGTTTGATAAACTTGTATTTGCACTAGATATATCACAGCGATACAGGGCATGTCAGAGTAGGCTGGCTAACGAGATGTAGCCGTGTAGCCGTATAGCTAGCTACTAGCACTAGCCTGAAACGAAGGCTAACGTCAACTAGCTAAGTTATCAAAAAGCGAGACGGCTAGCAACAGGAAAAAAAAAAAATCACCCTTGCAGGTTGGAATTAGTTTACGCTAGCTGACTGCCCTTCTAACTAACGCCATAATATCTAAGGTTAGCGTTAACTCGCTAACCAAATGGTAGTGCACACAAATAAAACACTCGCTATGGTTTAAGTTTTAGCCGTACAGCTTGCAGTAGAGTGGACACGGCTAGTTTACCAGCTAGCGTTAATGTTACAAACTTAGCTGAGCTATTATCAAATTGCTGCCAACTAGCCGGCTTGCAAACTAACTTAGCAGCTTTCTATTCGTCCGCCATGCCAGAGGTAGTCGAACCGTGTGGTTGAATGTGAAACACAGACTTGTCAGCAATTCATTTTTGACAAGTCGTTCATGACATTAATTGCTAAAGTTACATAAGCAGTTGTGTTTTACCGTGTCCGTTGTTCTGCTCCTTTCCTACTCTCTATGTCTCCGAGATGCTCTATCGTTACGGTTGTCAGTAAAATGCCCAACCGGACAGGCCCCACAGTCTGCTACGGCTTTCTTGCCATCTCTGTGCAGAAGCCTCCGAGCAACACAACAGTCAGGGGACAGGGGCGCCACCCCAAATATTGCTGTGTAATAACACGGGAGACGAGCATTAGGCCCCGAGAGTTAAACTCTGATAAATAAATGCATGTTGTTGTTGTTATTGCACAATGTCGCTAACAAGACAGTTTAATGGACCGTTAGATCTGATAAGATATACCTCGTCAGTGCATATCATACATGAATAATTTAACATTCATAATGTGTTAGCTTTTTGTAGGGCTTTTCTTCTTACTTGCCAATGTGAACACAAACTATTTCTTAACTTAAGTGAATTCAAACGTCCTTTCCTATTTCATATTTCTCACATTCTATTATTTGGGTCCCCAAATAAATCTGAATGGTCACAAGGTGTTTAAAGGAAGAAAAAAAATCATATTTGTTACACAAATGTGTTTATATTATCTTTTTTCCTAACCACTGTTGTTAATATTATGAAACACTGAATACTGACTGATACTCACATTATATTCTATTAAATATTGCAGAATGACCAACAGTCAAATTGTCTTCATTCTTTAAAGGTCCACTCTACACAGACATTTTTGCATGTCAGACACCAGCTACTGTTGCCAATCAGGGAGGTTGTCACTGTATTCTGACAAATATCAGTTCATATTTTTTCATCTTGAACACTGGTATCCCTCAGGTCTGTGTCCCCAACACTGACTAATCCCTACTAAAACTAGCTGGCATCCCAAAGAGGTGGCATAGAGGTGGTAAGAATATAAATATTGATTTGGCTGAATGTTGTTACAGCAAAAAGAGGTAGCTGAGCCAAGCAAGAGTGATGTAAGGAGGACAACTTTTCAGCACAGTAGAGGAATCAAGTTATAGGTATTCTAAATACTATGCTAATCCTGTAAAATATTTATATTCAATATTTGACCTGGTCAACACCTATGGGGGCTTATTTTCAAGCATATTTACATATTTCAGTTGGATGCCATAATTACCTACAGTTTTTGTCTTGCAGCTGTCTATAGACAGAAACACAGAGGTATTTGCTGTCAAAATGTTTGCAGACTGCTGGCCAATAAACATGCTGATGTCTGATCAAAAGTACAGCAGTCAGTTACATGTTCAGCCCCCATAAATTCATTAATAAAATAGGTATTATGCCAAATTTTATGTGAGGCAAACACACAAAGTTAAAGCTATTTATGCTTATTGGAATGCCACAGTGTCACGTGCTCTAGAAGCAAAGCACACCATAGCATTACTTAAAATGTTCTGGCACAAAGCAGCTCACCTCCCCTCAGTTTTGTCCATATATACAAGCAACAATTTCTGTGCACAATTCATTATGTACCATGTAAGATATTCTGTGGAACCTGTTTCAGTGACTGATCACTGTGAAATACACTGAATGAAGTCAGCCTCTACAGGATGGTGTCCAAGTGTTTAATTCCTGTTCCTTGTAAGCTGCACAAAACTGTAAATTTCAGTGAATTACTCCTAAACCCAGGATATTACTAAATCATTTTGTATAAATCTTTTATTGTGCAACTACAGGTGTTTATGTGAACTAAAATTCCATATTAATTCATATTACAAAACATGGTTCAATGTATTTGAAGCAACAAAATATACGAGTATTATTTAAAACCTCATGAAAAGAAAGGCTAAGTGAAAAATATTCAAGGCACTTAGAATTACAGGCAAAGCAAACTTGCATAACAAAACATGATCAACACTCACTTTAAAACACTGGATCCAGTTGGAAATCAAAGAGATTCAGTGATTGACAAGGCAAGTTTCTGTCTCAAACAAGTGAAGCAGTAAAAGAAATAAAAAAAAAATAAATAAAAAAACATTTCTAGTAAACATTAGGTGTTGCCATTCATCCATAAAGTGCATCACATAACCTTTTACAGTCCTAGTTTCAGCTGTGGTTATTATACACTTCATCAGCAAAGAGAGGAAACAACAGCTGGCCAGCACAACCCATATGAAACCTTTACTCTCAAGTGGTTTGGGGTCTAAAAAATATGGCTTTTGGAGGCGATTTGTACACCTGGTAATAGACTTCATGCTGATACTGTGCCATAAGGCTCACCAGCATTCAACAGTCACTTACGCCACGTAGTTCTTGAAATACCAGTACATACTATGGTTTTACCCATTATTTTCAATAGCCTCAACTTCATAAAGCCAAGGCCAAAGAAAATTAGGCCCTGCTCTAAACATTCACCTTTTTCACCTCTGAACAGTGGTTAATTCATCCCTTAGCTCAAAACACAATCATTTTTTTTAAATGAGGTAAGCCAATATCACTATGATTTAACACCTTTGATCCTGCATTCCTTCACTGATGACAAATGGCTTGAAATAAATAAATGATTGCTTCTTTTCACATTTCTTAAAAGGTTGTTTCACCCACATTACTATTTGCTTACCTACTTCTAGGGGTATCCTGCCTCTGAGGCTTTTTCTCCCTGCCCAGTATGACAAACGAATGAGTGACACCTTCAGTCAGGCTACCACTCCCAGAGAGTGAAACTGTAAAATGAGAAGGTTGTGGTGTATCCTGAGTAACCGGAACATTGTTTATGGAAATACAAATTACTATTGATTTTTTCAAATGTATTCTTCTATATTTTGAGCATCACAAATAAAATTCCATTCATCTGAATTGTAGATAGGTAATAGATGCAAAAATCTTAGAAGCGGTTATCTTAAAATCTTCAGCAGATAAAACTAAAACTATCTGCATGAAGACAGCAGGAGCAAGTAAACTTAACAAGTGTCTTTTCACAAATTCAGAGAACTGATCATTTAATTATACCCATGTCAAGAGGATTCTCAGTCCAGGCCCAGTCTACACACTGAACAGACAAGGCGTAAGATGTTTAGTACTGTAAATATTTATATACATAACTGAAACTGGTCTAATCAATGCCTAAGAAGGAAACCATCAGGGTACTGTAAAATGCATACCTGTGTGTATGTATAAAAGATGTTGGTATTAATGTACATATTGACCATTACATTCCTCAAAGAGCAAAAATAGGCCACATGTCTCTCAGTACAGTATGTTAGAGTTTTCACCACTTCTTGCATGACTTGGTTTCCAACAAAAACCTAAGGGTATGTAAGCTTCTAGATGCTGATATGAGTTTGAAAGTGAAAACACAATGAAGTTTTTCAAGAAAGGAGGGCCATAAGTACAGTGACAGTCAATAGCAGCAGAGAGTGCCTGCAAACCTAAAATTATCAATCACCTTGCCAGACCCACCTGGTTCCCAATGCTTAGCCCGAGTCATTTGATTTAACCAGACTTTTTATGGCCGCTAGGGGGCACCGTTTCTCTGGTTTGAGAAGACGGCCCCTTGTCAAAAGTAGGCCACAAGGCAACGCAGCTCTGCAGAAACTGATGACTGTTCTGGTTTCCTGTAGATTGTCACAGTTGTGACAGCCATGAACCGGTGCAATGGGGTGATTCTTTAAGTTATCTTTTTATTCTTTCTGGCTAAGAAGCCAAACTTTGGCTTTGTCACCACAGGATTAAATTATTCAATCCATGATAAGAGGTTCACAAGTGAACGATGAGGACAGAGAAATTTTCACACTGTTTAAGAATTGCTTAGTCTGAGGTTTGAAGAAATAGAGCCATGTCCAAATATAACTCTTACAAGAAGCTGCTTAAGGTCTTCATGAAGAAGTCTTCTGTAGGTGCCACACATAATAGCCCATGATCCAATGTATAGAGGAAATATAAGGTTGTGTCAGTATAAAATCGTTCCCCATTAACCCCACACACAAGTTTTGAAAAAGGCTACATCAGATCCAACTGAAAGGTGGAACAACTGCTGAGAGGTGATGGGAGCAGGTTGAGGAGAGAGCAGAAAAAAAAACTAAGTTGGGTGTGGAGTAGCTATCCAACATAAGTGGTGTAGTAGGGGAGGAGACTGAGTACAAATGAAAAGAGCCCAGTGTTGGTCATCAGTCCTCCAGCTTCTAATGGTAAAGCTGGGTGACCTTGATAACTGGAGGAGAGGCGCTGAGTGACGGCCCACACCAACAAGCAGAGGATTGCATTGGCTGGACCTCACACCTACCACTGGAGAGAGGGAGAAGACAGCAGAGAAAACACATTTAGCATCTGACTCAGATTAATGCAGTGCGACCTGCAGACTTCAGACAATGCACACACAGACAGAGAATCCAAGAAGAACAGTCCGACGTGTAAGCCATCCATGTAGAAAGAGACATAAGGCGTACTGTAAATAATGTCACAAAACCAGCAAGTTAACAGATACACACTACCAGTTACAAGTTTGGACACACATTCCCATTGAATTGAATGGCTGTGTCCAAACCTCTGAATGGTAATGTAGGCCCGCTGCAGGAAGACAGGTTTTCTCTCTCCTACCAGTCACCTCCACTATAACATGATACATAATAACATAACATTAATATACTGTAGACAGTAGCTGGAATCAATACAATTTACGATGAACTTAGATTAGAGGTCTTAATTACTAGAAGCTAGAGTAAAAGACAAGAAATGGAGTTCTTGTCACAAAACATAGAAACCACAAGTCCATGAGTTGAATAAATTACGTAACATTGGTTTCAGTATTACTGCTACAGATAATTTTGTCATAGGTTGAGTAGCTATAAAACTCTCAGACAGATGATGGATACAAATTAAGATTTTTATCTCTGACAAGAGATGAGGGAGAGGAAAGGGGAAAACCTGAAATCCAAGAACCTACAGTGGCCACAGTGAACACACACCACCATGTGCTTGTGAAGGAGAGGCACTACCGGCATGTGTTAGTCACATACAGTATAATGCAGAGGAGCAGCATGACACAGCCAAAAGATACACAGAGCACAGAACAATGTACAGAGAATGAACACCAGAGGTGTTGGGGACAAATCATTTTCAGGTCACCCTTTGAAATTAACAGGGGTGCAAACCGGTGAGTGTCCTGAAAACATTTTTTGCACCTGAAAAATAAAGAAAATAAATGGCACTGGGCTCCTTAGAAATACTGTGGGACACTAGGGTATCTTAAGACGAAGGAAGTTATGATAGAGCCTGCACTGACCATCGAGGGAGCAAATAAGTAAAACAAAGGCAGCCTAAGATCCATCCATCCATTAGCTATATTGCTCATCATGAACAGGGTCAAGGGGAGGCGGGAGCCAATCCCAGCTGACACAGAAATGCACTGTGTTTGATGAATGCATCACTTTTCAAAAGGCACAGTGTCTATAAAATCTTTCTGAACTTTCTCAAATTACGGTCAGGATTTTAGCATTTTATTGAACCAGTATCTGCTTATTTAATCTGATTCCTTTCAATTTTCTCAGTGAACCCATTTACATTCACTGTTTAGCTTCTGAAAGTTACTAAAATTCTGAGAAATTGCACGTTGAAAAGACAGTGTTGAGTAGTGGCTGAAGCACTGTTGGCAACTTTTCATCCTTAAAAAAAAATCTGCACCACAGATGCTCAGTATACATAGTAAAATTAAATATACTATATGCATAGCATCAGAAGATACCAAATGTTAATTAAATATCTATTTACACATTAAGCTTCATTTTGGCCTGTCATACATTTAAATAATTGTTTGTCAGTGACAGCTGATATGGCCTGCTGCTGGACACTAAGCTGCAACAGCACCAGTCAGTGTAGGCTAAATAAGGGAGGATGCTACCTGAATGATTTGTACACAGAGCTTTTCTAACAAGAGTGTCAGAATTCAAAAGTTACTAAAAGTAACTGTACATGTACAAATGGGTATGTCAGTATTTGGACCAACCTGAAAAATCCCAAACCTGCCCTTTAATATGACTATTAAGACAGGGTGAAGTCAATGCAAGCCCACTCGCAGATGATTTGGATGAAAATTAAGATGACATAGCCCACAAAAAATATTTTGAAGATCTAAATAATTCAAGTGTATGAGCTACTGTATTTGTAGATGCAATAAAAATTTTACCAAAAGGTGACTAGTTTGCACCCATGTTTAAGGTTTGTGTACATAAGGCCAACAAAGTTAGGGAACATGAAAATACTGTATATGGTTTGGATTTGAAAATAATCTGAACCCATTCTTTAGCACCCTGATAAGAAGAAGAAGACAAAAAACAGGACACATCCATTATAGTGCAGCGGTTGACAGTGGGATGCATGTTAATGAGAAGAAGAGAATAATAAAAAGACAGGGTCAGCCTATTGAGCCGGTATAGGAAATAGCTCACACTTTTAGGAGGTTCTTTTTCAGACTGAGGCATCATTGCTGTGAAATATGAGGAAAAACACAAAATGGAAGGAAAAACATTTTAAAAAGCAAACTAGATGCAACTATGATGAAAAAAATGATGGTAACAATTTCACTTTCAAATCTCTCATCTTGTTTGGGGCTGAAATTCACTAAAGGACACTTTGGATTATGCAGTTCTTGACATTAGAAAATTAGAGACATAATTTCAAGAAAATATATTTCATGACATTTTCAGTTGGGGACCAAACCCTAGATTAAATTGTTCCTCGTGAAAGCCCTCTTTAAAACACACAGTACTGTGCAACACCTCTGAGCGCTTTAAATGCTTGGACTCTTATCCATAACACAACACCATGAAGAAGGCATTTGATCAATCCCAAATTCATTCTGCAGCATGACAAGCCCAAAAATCCAGCCAGAGTTGTAAAGAACAACTCTCAGAGACGAGAAGAACACGGAGTCTAATCACGGAGTCAATCTGGGATGACATGCAGAAAAAGTGAGACAGAACTATGGCAGCTTGTCCAAGATACTGGAGTAACCTACCTGCCAAGCACACTGAAAAACTCTGAGCCTTTTTCCTTCAGTGAGGGTCAGCAACAGAACTGGATCAGAGGCCTATCTTCTTCTTCTTTCGGCTGTTCCCGTTAGGGGTCACCACAGAGAATCATCTGTTTCCACCTAACTCTATCCTCGGCATCCTCTACTCTCACCCCAGTTAACTTCATGTCCTCTTTTAGCACATCCATATATCTCCTGTTTGGCCTTCCTCTTGACCTCTTGCCTGGCAGCTCCATCTCCAACATCCTTCTACCAATATAACCACTATCCTTCCTCTGCACATGTCCAAACCATCTCAATCTGGCCTCTCTGACCTTGTCCCCAAAACAGCCGACCTGAGCTGTCCCTCTGATGTGCTCATTCCTAATCCTGTCCATCCTGGTCACTCCTAAACAGAACCTCAACATCCTCATCTCTGCTACCTCCATCTCTGCCTCTTGTCTTTTCCTCACTGCTACAGTCTCTAACCCATACAGCATAGCTGGTCTCACTACTGTCTTGTACACCTTTCCTTTGATTCTTGCTGACACTCTTCTGTCACACAACACTCCTGACACCTTTCTTTACCCACTCCAACCCACCTGCACTCACCTCTTCACCTCTTTCCTACACCCCCCCGTCACACTGGACTGTTGACCCCCAATACTTAAACTCCTGCACCTTTCTTGACACAGCCCCCTGTAACCTCACCGTTCCACTTCCCTCCCTCTCGTTCATACACATATATTCCGTCTTACCACGACTGACTTTCATTCCTCTTCTTTCCAGAGCAGACCTCCACCTGCTCTCTGCTCTCACTACAGATCACAATGTCATCCGCAAACAGCATTGTCCAGGGAGATTCCTGTCTGACCTCATCTGTCAACCTGTCCATCACCATAGCAAACAAGAAGGGGCCTCAAAGCCGATCCTTGATGTAGCCCCACCTCCACCTTGAACTCCTCTGTCTGACCTACAGCACATCTCACTACTGTCGTACTCCTCTCATACATATCCTGAACTACTCTGACGTACTTCTCTGCCACTCCTGACATCCTCATACAGTACCACAGCTCCTTTCTCATACATGTGTCGTACACTT